GTGTGTGTGTGTGTGTGTGTGTGTGTGTGTGTGTGTGTGTAATGATTGAGAGAGAGCAGACCCTTTCTTAGTCTTTCTCTGCCTACCTGGAGCTAGCAGTGGTCATTAATTCAGGTAACACAACAGACAGAGCCCGAGGCCTGGAATCAGGTAGTCACTTCCCATCCCAGCTCTTGTGGGACTTGCAGTCTAATTGTTGTGACTGATCTCTTCCCCATCTAGTACCTGGTCCCTCCCCCTCTACTGATTTCTCCCTGTCTAGCCATTGAGATAAGACCAAGACATATGCTAGATTGATTTTTTTTTTTAACAAGACAACAGTATGCAGCCTTTTCCAAAGTCTGTTCTCCTCTAACCCCAACTGGTAATGAGTTGAGGAGAGATCTGAAGATAGGAAGCCTCAATCCTGAGACTCTCACCACTCAGAAATTGTACTCCTCTTCTTCCTCATCCCTTACAGGTATTGACCTGGAAAACATTGTCTACTACAAGGATGACACCCATTACTTCGTGATGACCGCAAAGAAGCAAAGTCTGCTTCGGCTGGGAGTGCTTCGTCAGGTAGGAGCATGGACAGGAAGTGGGCCTGGATGTGGCGAGGAATTGCCCGACCGAGGGAGGTAGCTGTGCTGCAGGGGCTGCGGCTGAGTAGTCGAGGGATGGAGCTGAGTGCAGAGCGTGCATGCTGGGATCTTGGAACACATGGACTCTTAGAGCTTTTCTTGTCTCCTACTACCAATCCCACCAGTTCCCCAAACTTCAAACCTTTCTTTTTAAAAAGTTTTCTTCCCAACTAATAATAGCTAGTATTTATATAGTGCTTTAATGTTTGCAAAGCTCTTTACAAATATCTTATTTGGTCCTCACAATAACCCTTTACAATCAATCAATATTTATTAAGCACCAGTTATATACCAGGCACTTGCTAAATGAAAAAAGAAAAGAGAGACAAACTGTACCCTTAAGGAGCTTGCAATCTATGGGGAAAGACAAAGGAAGCTGCAAAACTATGGTGGGGTGGGGTTGGGGGCAGGCAGTTGGAGGAGAGGGAATGGTAGAGAAGCCCTAGAGAAGTCCCAGCCTGGCCCGGGTGAGGAATGCAGAGCCATCTGAACTGGAGTCTCTGCTTAAATGGAGGTTTGGAGTTCATGACCTCACCTTCCAATCAGAAGTACAAGAGAGTAGTGATGGGGTGGAGTACCAAGGCTGATGAGATCTTTTAGGATGAAGAGGTTATCTCAATAATGAGTTTGCAGGTGGGACAGGGTGGAGAAGTAGGTGAGAAAGGTCCCAAAGGGCAGCCAGCTGAGAAATGACGATAACTGTGGCAGATGGGGCAGCTAGGTGGTACAGTGGATAGTATACCACTCCTGGAATCAGGAAGACTCATCTTCCTGAGTTCAAATCTGACCTTAGCAATCTTTGTTGTCTCTTTTTTTTTTAATTTATAAACTTAATCATCAATAAAAAAACAACATTCCATTATTCCAGGAATCACAAAAATAGCTTGTGTACAAAATCATGAACTTTTTATGTACATTTTTAAAGAAGTGTATATTAAACTTAACAAGGTATTCACAAAATTGTCTTTTGTTTTTAGGTCCCCTTATGAGATTTAGTTTTCTTCTGTGTTTTTGTTTCATGTTTTATTGATGAGCCTTTCTTTCTTTTCTCATCACCTAATTTTTCCTCATAAATAGAAGCCCCCCAGCAAGTAAATTTAGGCAGGCAAAAGGAATCAGCACATTGCCCAACTCTAAAAATGAGTGTATCATATCTCTCTTGTAGGCCGCTAGGGGGCACAGCGGATGGAGTTCTGGGCTTGGACTCGGGAAGACCTGAATTCAAAGCCTGCCTCAGACACTTACTAACCGTGTGACCCTGGGCAAGTCATCTAACCTCTGTCTCAGTATCCTCATTAGTAAAACAGGGATAATAACAGCATCTATCTCCCAGGGCTGTTGTAAGGATCAAATAAGATAATATTTATAAAGAGCTTAGCACAGTGACTGGCACATAGTAAGTGCCATTTAAATCTTAGCTGTTATTTGTAAAG